CTTTGAAATTCTCCTCTGCTTCTGGGTATCAAACAAACTAACAAAGCAGATAGTTATGATGAGCACGAGTGCTTCTTCCAAAATTGTGAATTTTATGGCCCCAGGGTCAGGGGTTCTGGTGTTAGGGCGGGGCTCTATTGATTATATAGTGAAAATACATGAATTCTTTGAAAATCTTCTTCTCTGCTTTTGGGTATTAAATAAACTAACTAAGCACATAGTTATGATGAGCAAGAGTGCCTCTTCCAAAAGTGTGAATTTTATGGCCCCAGGGTCAGGGGTTCTGGTGTTAGGGCGGGGCTTTATTGATTATATAGTGAAAATGCATTAATTTCTTTGAAAATCTTCTTCTCTGCTCCTGGGTATTAAATAAACTAACTAAGTATATAGTTATGATGAGCAAGAGTGCTTCTTCTAAAATTGTGAATTTTATGGCTCCAGGGTCAGGGGTTCTGGTGTTAGGGCGGGGCTATATTGATTATATAGTAAAAATACATTAATTCTTTGAAAATATTTACCATTGCTTCTGGGTTCTATACCAATGATCCAAGTATATATATTTATGATGAGGAAAGGTGCATCTAGCAAAGTGGTGGGGGGTATATAGTCTGAAAATAAATTAGTGCTTTGAAATCAGCTCTTTGGTATTAATCAACCATTTTATGATGAAATTTTCAAAAATTTGAAATATGTAGCCCCTGCGTCAGTGGTTCCTTTGGGGTGAGGTGCACAACTGGGTATAAAGTGGAAGTGCATTTTCTCTTGTTACTCTGATCTACGTCTGGGTATTAAGTAAATAGAGTAACCATGCTAAGTTTATAATTATGATAAGCAATGGTGCCTCTTTCAAAATTGTGAATTTCATGGCCTCTGGTTTAAAACACGAACCAAACTTAATTGTTTGAAAGTTGTTACACAATACTCAGGTGACCTATAAGGCCCATGGGCCTCTTGTTTTTGAAATCATCTGAAATCTTAAGAGCCTCAACAACAGGATAGAGCATCTTTAGGGGGGGGATCTTCAAAAAAGCATTGCTTGTATTTAATTTGGTCAATCCTTGCATGCTTGGAACAGCAAAGTTTATCTGTGCATTTTCTGGCTTTAGCATTCCTCTCTACACCATCCAAATTCTGACCTATATTATTTGGTCCTCACACAAGGCACAGAAATTTTGCATGGAATAATCGGTAACCTGTTTTCCTAAATAGTTTTGATAAGTCAGAATATCTCATCTCTGAAGAGTTTGTTGTAGAAATGAACCTTACAGTAAAGAGCACGAAATATAAATTGAAAGAAATATCCCATCGATAACATATTTCATAAACTTTGAAAAATCGTCAAAATGTCCATTTTCCCACATTTATATAATTCGAAGTCAAACTTAGAAACTTCTGATGACTTTTTTAAAAGGATTCCTATTGGGAGTTCTTGTTTTTAGCCTTCTACTTTTTGGGGTTTGAATGTTTGAAGGATTGCGCTGATGCTTTTTATTTGAAGCGGGTGTCTTACTGTTCATCAGCAAAAAATGCTTATTTTCTTGTGTTTGGTTTATCTAGCCATAGTTTTCTCTTTTCCTTGACTTTTTTAGGTTTCTGCAATAGTGAAAGTGAAATTAAACTGAGAAATACACAAAGTTTCACTATTTTTCCTTGACCTTTTTAGGTTTCTGCAATAGTGAAAGTGAAATTAAATTGAGAAATACACAAAGTATGGAAACAAAATGCATAACACATATCGAACAATGAACAGTGTCTTTTAAACACCCATGTACTTGTATTCATAAATAACTTTAAAATACTTTTTCCGAAGTTATGATGGAATTTATATCCCACTTTATCTAGTTGGGAGTATCAAACCCCCCTTTCAGGGTAGAAGACAGATGAGTGAATATTATCTGTAAATAGATGGGGTATACAACCCGCGTACACAGGTACTTGGGTCTTGGTTTATAAATATGTATGTACCTTGTTGATATGTAAAAACGTACAACAGAATCCATACACCCCGTGCACAACATTAGTTTCTCGTCGACATCTTTAAAATCCAATTGATTTTATTTCTAGACAATGTATGCACACGTACATCTATACATGTTTACGTATAAAATGTCATTAACACGAATATAACCAGAAGTCTCTGTCGAGACTGTAGCTCTACTAGTTTGTACTGATCAAAAACCGATGCACAGAATTATGTGTCTTAGTGTAGTCTACTTGTGTGCCAAGTTATACTGAAATCAGACCAAAACTGTAGAAGGAGTAGCATTTTAAAGGAATTCCACAGAAAATTCTACTTTTAGTAACCATGGCAACACCGTTCATTGAAATCAAAAACCGATCACTATTATATGTAAATTAGTGTAGTTTACTTGTGTGCCAAGTGATAATGAAATCAGACCAAAACTGTAGAAGGAGTAGCGTTTTAAAGGAATTTCTCAGAAAATTCTATTTTTAGTAACCATTGCAACACCGCTCATCGAAATCAAAAAACGATGCACTATTTTTATATATGTATCTTAGTGTAGTCTACTTGTGTGCCAAGTGATATTGAAATGAGACTAAAACTGTAGAAGGAGTAGCGTTTTATAGGAATTTCACAGAAAATTCTATTTTTAGTAACCACGGCAACATCGTTCATCGAAATCAAAAACCGATGCACTATTTTATGTATCTTAGTGTAGTCTACTTGTGTGTGCCAAGTGATATTGAAATGAGACTAAAACTGTAGAAGGAGTAGCGTTTTAAAGGAATTTCTCAGAAAATTCCATTTTTAGTAACCATGGCAACATCGTTTATCGAAATCAAAAACCGATGCATTATTTTATGTATCTTAGTGTAGTCTACTTGTGTGCCAAGTAATATTGAAATCAGACCAGAACTGTAGAAGGAGTAGCGTTTTAAAGGAATTTCTCAGAAAATTCTATTTTTAGTAACCATTGCAACACCGCTCATTGAAATCAAAAACCGATGCACTATTTTATGCATCTTAGTGTAGTCTACTTGTGTGCCAAGTGATATTGAAATGAGACTAAAACTGTAGAAGAAGTAGCGTTTTAAAGAAATTTCACAGAGAATTCTATTTTTAGTAACCATGGCAACATTGTTCATCAAAATCAAAAACCAACGCACTATTTTATGAATCTTAGTGTAGTCTACTTGTGTGCCATGTGATATAGAAATGAGACTAAAACTGTAGAAGGAGTAGCGTTTTAAAGGAATTTCTCAGAAAATTCTAATTTTAGTAACCATGGCAACATCGTTCATCGAAATCAAAAACCGATGCATTATTTTATGAATCTTATGTAGTCTACTTGTGTGCCAAGTAATATTGAAATCAGACCAAAACTGTAGAAGGAGTAGCGTTTTAAAGGAATTTCTCAGAAAATTCTATTTTTAGTAACCATGGCATCACCGTTCATCAAAATCAAAAACCGATGCACTATTTTATGTATCTTAGTGTAGTCTACTTGTGTGCCAAGTTATATTGAAATCAGACCAAAACTGTAGAAGGAGTAGCGTTTTAAAGGAATTTCTCAGAAAATTCTATTTTTAGTAACCATGGCAACACCGTTCATCGAACTCAAAAACTGATGCGCTATTTTATGTATCTTAGTGTAGTCTACTTGTGTGCCAAGTTATATTGAAATCAGACTAAAATTGCAGGAGGAGTAGCGTTTTGAAAAATTGTTTACAGACAGACGGACGGACGCCGGACGCATTACTATCGCATAAGCTCTTCTGGTCTCTGACCAGTAGAGCTAAAAACGAAGATAAACCGAAGATTTCTTCTGATATTTGACCATAAACACAAAGTTGTGTGAATTTCGGTTCGATCGTCGGAATTGTGTTAGAAGAAACTATGAAGGGTAGAGTGGATTCATAAACATCCATTAATTAAACACATGGAGATAACGAACAGTATTCAAGATCAGAAGTCCATAAAACAATTCAAAACAGGAGTAGAGCAAACACAGACCTCGAAAACATCAGAGGTGGGATCAGGCACCGTGGAGGAGTGAGCATACCCTGCCAACCGGTCACACCCGCCGTGTGTACATTGTCATGATCGGGAAATAATGGGAAAATCCGTCGTCAATTCAGTGTATGAATAATGGACTAACAATAAGTATGAAAAACGTCAGTCAGCATTTAACTCAATGATAAATTGTATTTGCTGACAAGGTCACAAAGAACTGACGAAATGATTACTTTAAACGAGCCTGCTGAAATTCTTTTTTTAACTTGTTTGTTAATAATTTACTTCTTTTTAGAAATTGTCCATACGTAGAGCATGCTCTTGCGTATCGACTGAACTGAGATATGTAAACTCCGTATGCAGGTGATGGAGGTATATTGCTGCATAAGTAAGGGAAGTTGACGATCGAAAAGTTAAAGTCATCACGTTTATCATAGATCTTGGTTATTAGATTACCATTAACGTCTGTTTCAAGTAAAATATCTATATATGAAACAGATGTGTCAGACTCTGTGGTATCCTTTATCTCAAGCTCACCAGGACATATCATATCGACATAAGAATGGAAATTACCATTGTTAATTGACTGTACGTCGTCGTACAACATACATACCTAAATCAATGCCTTCTTCCGTAATAAACATATGCTTTCCACTGAAATATGTTAATAGATTGTGAAACTGGATAAAAAAGATAAGGAAGATAAATATCTCAAACCCCCTTTCACCGCTTCAGAAGCCTACACCCCGTTCACAACGTAGTATACATCCCGCATGATGGGATATACACGGTGTTATTAGTAAATGTTCTCTGTTAACATTTTTGGTGGAGATATACGACAGGTTTCCTATGCTGAAAGTGGTCAATAGACTCAATATCTACACCTTCATATCACAATTTTCTCAAAAACCAAAAATTATTGGTGTTTGGAGTTTTCTTACGGTATACAGGAAGGAAGAAAGAAAGAAAAAAAGAAATGCACTCTAAGTTTACTCAAAGCAGTTCACATTAAACATGGTCTGATCTAAAATAATAAAATGCAAGTTCGACCAATGACACTAACATTTTTTTGGTAAACAAATCACATTTTGAATAAAACACCTTTATCAGCAAGACACTTTTACCCCTTTTTTCATAATTTTGAAGACATTACAATTTGGAAATTTTCCAGAGACAAAGGAGAGTAGGTCTTGTTTTTTGAGTCAATGAAGTACAGTGGGTCCTTGACCTTTCCAAGGTCATAACCTTCCTCCACCAGCTCCACCTTCCGGTTCTTCATTGTTTGTGTGACGATAAAATTCGACATGAAGCGAAGGAATACAGGGCGAGCGTAATTCGGAAGTTCCTTCTCACAGACTGAGTAAATCGTTCGCAATTTGTCGTCTGTGATTTTATCGGTTTTATTTTTCAGAAGAATGGCCGCCATTCCTGCTCGCCCATCTTCACCTGGACATCAGAAAAGCAAAAGCATTTGTTATGTATATTGTATAAAACATTTGCAAAGAAAAGAACGAAACTAATTTCAAATCAATTTTTTAAATGCGATTTGCCAAAAAAAGATTTTTTTTTTTGAAAATTAAAGAATGAACTAAACACTGGATATTTTTTTTAAATCAACATACCTGAAGACAAACCACACATACCATATACAAATGTAATGCAGTTCAAAATCACACATAATAGACCGATATCACGATTGTTTTCACAATCCAAAAGAATTTGTGTTAAGGCGCATTAAAGTTTCAAAATTGGGTCAAACTCAAACTTCATGAGCAAAGGGTAAAATTGTTGGTACCCAATGCAATGCCTTGTAAAGAGGAATATATATGTATAATAGTACCCAATGTAATGCCTTGTAAAGAGGAATATATATGAATAATAATATGAAAACCCTTGATTATGGCCAAGGTTAAAGGTTTTTAAAGTGAGGCAAAGTCCACGGTCAAAAGTAAAAAAAAAAAAAAAAAAAAAAAAAACAATTGTATCTAAGGATTTTTTTAACAAGAAATACACACGTGAAAGTGAAGAATTTCCAACCCTAGCATAAACTGTTCAAAAATTATTTCCAAGGTTCAAGTTTGATAAAATATTGCAAAAGTGGATCAAGGATCATAGAATGTGAAAAACCAACCTGGAATTGTTACACCGTAAACATTGACGTCACGGATGAACGGAATACGACTCATGACGTCAGCTACTTCAGCAGTGGAGACATTCTCACTCTTCCACCTGAAACAAGATTTCAGGGTAGTCAAGACAAACCTGTCACCAAACTCACCATTGAATCGATAAAAGATGTTCATAATTTACTTCGAACAATCCTTCTTGAAATTTTGGATGACAACAAGGGAACTTTCTTTAGCATGAGACATATGGATATAAGGAACAATACAAAATAGGAGCAGAACAAACACGGACCTCCAAACCATCAGAGGTGGGATCAGGTGCCATGAAGGAGTAAGCATCCCCTGCCGACCAGTCACACCCGCCGTGTGCTCCCTGTCATGATATGATCGGGAAATAACGGAAGAACCCGTCGTCAATTGTGTATAAATAATGGACTAACAATTAGTATGAAAAACGTCAGTCAGCATTTTACTCAATGATAAATCGTATTTGATGACAAGATCATTGTATCGACCAAAAAACTTACGAAATGATGAATTTAAACAAGCCTGCTGAAATTCTTGTTTCATCAACTTGTTTGTCAATAATTTACCTCGTTTTAGAAATTGTTCATACGTAGAGCATGCCCTTTCGTATCGAATAAACTGAGATATATATAAACTCCGTATGCAGGTGATGAAGGTATATTGCTGCATCAGTAAGGGAAGTTGACGATAGAATAGTCAAAGTCATCACGTTTATCATAGAGCCTGGTTGTTAGATTACCATTAACGTCTTTTTCAAGTAAAATATCCACATCTGTAACAGATGTGTCAGACTCTGTGGTATCTTTTACCTCAACTTCACCAGGATATATGGTATCGACATAAGAATAGAAATTCAATTTTTTTTCAAATCAAATTTAAGAATTGTTATAACCACTTATAAATTTAAAAGTCTCCATCTTAACACAGATAATTAGAAACTGGCATATCAAGCTTTTAGATATAAGAACATAATTATGATTGTTTATTTTAAGTTCACTAAGCTGATTGCCTGATCTCCGAATGACAGAACATTCCAATCATTTTTCCCTCCAAGACGAAACTTCATGATATAAAGATATCACTTTGTCCATCAATTTGCAGATTACGAACAATAATCAAGCTAATTAAAATCCATTCTACTCTAAATCCATTCATTACTTTCAAATGAAAGTACAGTTATCATTTGGACATAGCAACGACACGCAGCAGCTTTATGTGTACCTGTCAGTGTAAATAACATATGCAAAATATGAAAATCAATTTGTATATTATACAATTATGGACTGTTTAGAAGGGAGACATCACCAATTATCAGGTCTGAGTAAGGTTGTCACCCGAGGGCGCTTGCCCTACTCAGACCTGATAATTGAAGATGTCTCCCTTCTAAAATGTCCATAATCGTTTTATTATTCTGAAGAATATACAATTATCAATTACGTAGAGTAGAAAATTGTAATCAAACCTCTTGTTTTCTTCTACTCTGCTCTGATACCATACTTTCAAAATATGTCAACAGACAACTTTGACGTCATCGTTAGAATTTATTGTTTACCGATCCCGCATATTTATTAATTGTACTTATAAATAAGAGTTATCTCTCTTAAATCACTGTAGTTTCATTCAAAGGGCGACAACACAGTTGTATCCCTGCATGCTTGCTTACGCTATTTCATTGTCATCTGAAGGGAGATAACAGTTGTCACCCTGCGCGTGAGGGAGACATCACGAGTTGTCTCCCTGCACGTGACCTGCTCTGAACCAATCAGATTGACTGTCTAATTCTGAAGGATAATAAACATATTTATGTTGGATTGAATAAATCATGATAAAACTATATATCGTCCTAGACTGGCATTTAAACCACTATTCACCTTTTATATAGCCTTGCTAACGAGACTAAAGAACCACGTGATATTCACCAGGTATTCGAATGAAAACCTTGTAATTACCCAAAAAAGTCATTCATTATCACACCAAGTAGAAATTGATTTCTGTCTAATTCGCTCCTCAAACGAATGAAATCATATTTTTCCCTTTTATACAGAAGAAGAGCAGAGCAAACACTGACCCTTTAAAAGATCGGACATGAGATCAGGTGCCATGGGGGATCTTCCGGGGTGTGTCGTAATCGACAACTGACTCAATCTTTCTGATTCTCTGAAAGTATAATACAGAGAATCAGAAAGATTGAGTCAGTTATCGATTACAAGACACCCTCAATCCGTGCAGTATAGACAGTTTTCAGTAGACCCAAATTAACAAGAGTCATTTCCCTTCGGCCGCCATATTATGGGTCAACATGCTCATATTCCTTCATAATTCAACCAACTTTAACTTTTTATACTGGCTATTGTGGGTTGGGAAGCATTGTTTTTCTGACAATTATACATTTGTTAGAGCCTCCTTTATTTCATAATGTTTATTCCAGAACGATTTCCCCCCAAATATTTCTGCTACACCCTCTTATATTTGGAAGGACAAAGAGGGAAAATTACCTGGTTGACCCACAAGATGGCGGCCAACGGGAAATAACTCTTGTTAATATGGGTATACTGAAAACTATCTATTTAACTCTTTTTTTCTTCTTATACTTACCTAAATGTGTCCCCAGTTCTATCTCTGAAATACACATTGTAGTTTTCATCCAGGTAGATCAGGTCACCAAATGAAAACCAGCGATCCCCCTCCTCAAATACGTCTCGGATGAATTTTTTCTCGTTCATTTCCTTAGAACCTTTGTAAAATCCAGAGTAGAATTCTTCGTTTACCCCACAAATGACGAGACCCACCTCACCTGAAATATGTGTAAAAATCAAGGCATAACTTGTACTTGTTTGGTCTGTATGTTACCAAATTTCATTAATTTGACAATAAATGTATTCTTGAGGAAACAGACCTGGTTTTATATGGATACATCTCCCATTCTTGTCTCTTATCGGTTTTTCTGATCTGGTGTCGAATTGAATGAAATTTATTTGAAAGCTTTTATCCCGAAATACAGTTGCTTTCTGCAATAAAACTTTAAATATAAATCTTTAAAATATATAATTTCAAGTTACATGTGTCCAATCTACGTGTTCACGGTGCGACCCTCAGCCGTTAGGGTGAGCGCAGATCTATACCTATTCATTTTTGAATTACATCTGTCTCTCCAAAACGCACGTGACAAACGCTGACTGACATGACGTATGTAAGTTGAATTAAAAATCTTTTTTCTGCAATATGCATTAAATCAAAGTGATTTTATATTTTGCTTTCACGAACACAGGGGCTTGTCACGAAAACTTAATCTTCTTTTAATATGGTTACCCCTACTATTAAGGAGGCTCATTACACCACTTTTTGATGACGTACTACACAAAAAAATAAGCATCCATTGTTTCGTTCGTTTTCCTCTGGGGGCGATTTGTCCAGGTACCTTTACAATATGACCCTGACCTTTAAAATGCTTTAAAAATAGTTGTTGTAAACAGTGAGTGGACAAAGGACAAACTCACAAAGTAACGGATTCATTATGCATAAACTAAGAAGGATTGCTTTTAAGCAGAAACAAAAGAAAACAGCAGCCATATCTTCGCCAAACAAGTAATGTGAAATGTCATAGCGAAGCAGTGAATTTTTTCAATCAATGACATGTTTGTATGGAGGAAATTCCAGTTAAAATCTACAAACTTGTTGAAATAAAAAAAAAGTGATTTACTTGCACTATTCACTCTGCTGGTGTTGTTTTATATACTTGCTTTATTGATTTGAATATATACACTGGAAATTTAGAGCTTTGTTCCGAATTTTAGATGTAATGTTCAAACGTTCCTTAGGGTTTTGAGTCTTGGGTAATTAGGAAAGATAACTCTTGAAAGTGGACCTTTTAAACCAAATATTTTTTAAATTGGAATTTTTATTTCGTTAAAACATTCTTCATTCAATTTGTCTCATGCAATTCATTGAAGTACATTCCTTGTCTCTTTTGAGCTCATTTTCCTAATATATTATGCACAGATTAAAAAGATAATGACATTAATTGGTTTTTGGGAGAAAACTATTTTTTCTAATAAAATTAATATTAGGTATTATGAGGTATTTTTATTGCGTCTACTTGTCTAAAGGAGATGTCCATCATTTGACACCGAAAGTTCTGAAATTCTTGTAATTATAAACTTGAAATAAAACATTTCACTAAAATTAGAAAAAAGTTAAAAAATTCTCTAAAAAATATTTATGATAACAATACCTCCATTTGGATATTTGACATCTACATTATAAGTGATGCTGTAATGAAATCTAAAATAAACTATGGATGTAATGAGCCACCTTAAAATACACAAGGGAGGAATCTAAAAGTAGGAAATTCGCTACCACAAATTCTGACCGCACTTTGTCTAGTTTCTGGGCGGCTTGCGTTGCCAACCAAGTAGGAGTGAGTGGGGGTATAGATTCGATTTTTATATTCTTCAGTCAAATTCTCATCAACGCTTACCGTTAGTCATATAACTAACCTCGTTCTTCGACATTTGGATCTGGCGACAGTTCTCCGGCGTAAATTGAATGCTGATTGGTGGCTTTCTGTAGATAACTCGTAGACAAAGTTGCTCTCGAATTTAGTGCACCAAAACGGAGGGAAAATTAAACTGTCGTGATGACATTAAACAATACAGCTGTGGTTTCATGGTACGTATTTTTCTAATATTTGGTAATATTTATATAGACATGTTACATATCATTCACTAAGCATGTCAATCCTTACAGTGAACAAGAGGCCCATGGGCCTTATAGGTCACCTGAGTATTATGCAACAACTTTCCAGTGATTGAATTTGATTCATGTTTTAAGCCAGATGCTATGGCATTCACAATTTTGAAAGAGGCACCATTGATCATCATATCAATACACATAGCAGTTGCTTAGTTTGTTTACTTAATACCCATATGCAGGGTAAGGGAACAAAAAATGCATTTCAACTAATCAGTAATATTCAGCAATAATCAATAGTGCCCCTACCACACATGAACCCCTGACCCTTTGGCCTTGATATTTGATTAATACCAAGGAGCAGATTTCAAACCATTCATTCATTTTCAGTATATAAGTACAGCCCCCCCTTCTATGGTACCCTGACCCTGGGGCCTTGAAATTCACAATTCTGGAAGATATGGGCCCTTGTCCCTTGACCTAACTATATAGGTAGTTCATCTGCTTAATACCCTGAAGCAGAGAAGAAAATTTTCAAAGATTTAATGTATTTTCACTATATAATCAATAGAGCCCCGCCCTAACACCAGAACCCCGACCCTGGGGCCATAAAATCCACAATTTTGGTAGAGGCACTCTTGCTCATCATAACTATGCACTTAGTTTATTTAATACCCAGAAGCAGAAAAGATTTTCAAAGAATTCATGTATTTTCACTATATAATCAATAGAGCCCCGCCCTAACACCAGAACCCCTGACCCAGGGGCCAAACAAATTCACAATTTTGATAGAGGCACTCTTGTTCATCATAACTATGTACTTAGTTGGTTTATTTAATACCCAGGAGCAGAGAAGAAGATTTTCAGAGAATTCATGTATTTTCACTATATAATCTATAGAGCCCCGCCCTAACACTAGAAACCCTGACCCTGGGGCCATAAAATTCACAATTTTGGTAGAGGCACTCTTGCTCATCATAACTATGTACTTAGTTGGTTTATTTAATACCCAGGAGCAGAGAAGAAGATTTTCAAAGAATTCATGTATTTTCACTATATAATCAATAGAGCCCCACCCTAACACCAGAACCCCTGACCCTGGGGCCATAAAATTCACAATTTTGGTAGAGGCACTCTTGCTCATCATAACTATGTACTTAGTTGGTTTATTTAATACCCAGGAGCAGAAAAGAAGATTTTCAAAGAATTGATGTATTTTCACTATATAATCAATAGAGCCCCACCCTAACACCAGAACCCCTGACCCTGGGGCCATAAAATTCACAATTTTGGTAGAGGCACTCTTGCTCGTCATAACTATGTACTTAGTTTATTTAATACCCAGGAGCAGAGAAGAAGATTTTCAAAGAATTCATGTATTTTCACTATATAATCAATAGAGCCCCGCCCTAACACTAGAACCCCTGACCCTGGGGCCATAAAATTCACAATTTTGGTAGTGGCACTCTTGCTCATCATAACTATGTGCTTAGTTGGTTTATTTAATACCCAGGAGCAGAGAAGAAGATTTTCAAAGAAATAATGCATTTTCACTACCTATTTATTTAGCCGCGCCCTAGCACTAGAACCCCTAACCCCAGGGCCATGAATTTCACAATTTTGGTAGAGGACTCATTGTTGATTACAATCATGCAAACAGTTTGACTGCTTGATGTCCAGGAGTTAAGAAGAAGATTTTTTAAGATTGCATTAATTTTAGTGGTTTTGGCCCTACCCCTCAGGCCCCAGGGGGGCAGGGATCATGAAATTCAGAATTTTTGTTCCCCTTCAGCCATAGATGCTTTAGGCCAAATTTGGTTGAAACTGGTTCAGTGGTTGCAGAGAAAAAGCTGAAAATGTTCAAATGTTAACGCACAACGCACGACGACGGACGAAAACGGATAGCAATAGGTCACCTGAGTTTACTCAGGTGACCTAATAAAATCCATATATGAAAATTTGGGCGCGGATCCATAGTGCCGGGTGAAATAAATCGTTTTAAATGAATGTTGTATTTGATATAATCAAATCTCTTGTATCTCCAAATCTAAGGTTCAACTGGTTTCTTCAGAAAATACAGTGTACCATCTGTATGCCTCCTAAAGGCTTGCTCTCCCTTCTTACATGTCTGCAGACATATTCTACTTGTTCAAATTAACATCTTTCATGAAACATGGATAGTTCATCAATCATTACACAATCTGTAGGCTGTATATGAGTTTTGACATGATAATTTACATCTGTCATTATTCGTTTACTCAAATTCCTCATTGGAGTACCGACCATCCCTTAGTCCCCCAAAAAATGTGAACTGTCATGCCCTACATTTTCCCATCGTTTTTCATTTCCATGGCTTTTTTTTCATAGAACCATTTCCAGCTTAGTTTGGACTTTCAGTAAGGCGTGGCTTTCTCGGCGCTATATGTTTACCGCCTGTCAAATGGTGAATAGATTCTCATTGGTTAAGAAATTAACAACATCAGGAACTTTAAATTGATGTTCAAAACGATGAGACGAGTTAAGCTTCACCTCTTTGGAGGACGAGACAATGTAACTGGTTATTCAATACACAAATGTAACGTCGAGAATGCCACGCCTTACTGAAAGTCCAAACTAAGCTGGGAATGGTTCGAATATGACTTTTTCCTGTGGCTGCTGGTCCAATAAGGACATTGTGACTCTCTTTCTCGATCTCCATTTTCCCTTACTTTTTAATTCGAGAGCTACTTTGTGTGCGAGTTATCTACAGAAAGCGTCCAATCAGAATGCTGTATTCCATTTACACCGGAAATTTATATGGAAAGAACTGTCGTCAGATCCAAATGTCGAAAAAAAAAAGATTAGTTATATGACCAACGATACGCGTTGATGAGAATTTGACTGAAGAATATAAAAATCGAATCTATACCCCACTCACTCCTATTTGGTTTCCAACGCAAGTCGCCCAGAAACTAGACAGAAAGTGCGGTCAAAATATGTGGTAGCGAATCTCCTATTTTTATATTCCTCCCTTGTGTATTTTTATAGTAGGGGTAACTATATTAAAAGAAGATAAATATTTCGTGACAAGCCCATGTCATCACGAGAACGTTGTTCGCGGCAAAATGCTACTCTCAAAGGACTGTAGATCCACAGGTATTCATTTGGATCAATGTGCAAAATTCGAATTTTCTCTTCTCTAAGGTATCACTTTAAAACCACATGGTATGCTAAATTTACGGAAGCGTATTTAGGACCAATAAAAATATTTTTGAATTCGATATCACGAATTGTCGAATTTGTTAGAACGAATTTAATTCGTTATAACAATTTTTTGAATTCATTATAGATACTTTAATTTGTTTTAACAAATCTGTTGAATAAGTTTTATCAAAGTCAAAATTTTGTTATAACAGATTAAATTCGTTTAAACGAATTCTAAAATTTTTAATTAGAATTAAATTCATTTAAACAAATTGTGAAATTAAAGTCGTTCAATCAAATTCGACAATTGGGGCCTTTAGAAAAGTATTTGTGAATTTGTTATAAGGAATTCAACAAATTTGTTATTACAAATTTAATTTGTTATAACGAATTCAAAAATTGTTAAAACGAATTTGTTATATTAACAATTTTTAGAATCCGTTTGAACGAATTTAATTCGTTATTACAATTTTTGGAATTTGTTATAACGAATAAAAGTCATCAGTTTTAACAGATAACTCCGCCATTGCCCGGATGAGATAGGAGGAGGGTTGAGCGTAGGCCAGAAACCCCACCTCATAAAAACCACATATGCTACAGAAACGACTACAAGGAACCATATTTCAACTGGTGAACGGAGTGAAGCAGGCCATACAGCTGGAATTATGACGGTTCAAGACCCGATAGCAGATCTCCTGACACCGAAACAACACATATCCGAGTTGGATGTTGGAATGTTCGGATATCATACTAAACCGGAAGACTTGCCCAAGCAGTAAATCAGATGAAATAGTACAACCTATCTCTGATGGCCATGAGTGAAGTCAGATGGACAGGAACAGGGAAACAGACTGACCTCAGAGGAAGTCATTATATGGTCTGGACGAAGCGATAATAACCATCACGAAGGAGTAGCTCTCTTTTAATCAGCCACAAGGTTGCCAGTACGGCCCTTCAATGGAAGCCTATCAATGAACGTCTACTATATGTCAGAATTACATGTAACTCCCGATACACGAAGGTCCCCATAGCGAGTGCTTATGCACCAAAATGACTTTGTCATAGGTGGTAGTCTCTTCGCCCACAAAACCATCCACAAGCTGATCTGGACATCACTAGATGGAGGCACCAAAAGTCAGATTGATCACATTATGATCAACAGTATAATGGAGGCACTCTCTGCAGGACGTGCGAGCTGTGCGCCATGCCGACATCGATAGTGAACATAATCTTGTTATAGCCAAGATCTGCTTAAACTGAGAAAGGCCAAAATCGGTTCCAGAAAAAACGAGCGATTTGATGTCAGCAAGCTCAAGGACTCAGGCATTAGAGAAGAGTTTAACATTACTCACAGGAATCATTACAGCAAACTGCAGGACGAGACAGCTATCACTATCGATCAATTCCACCAAGTCATAAAGGATGCCGCTGCAGAAGTCATAGGCTACAAGAGATGTGCCAAATCGGAATGGTTATCCATAGACACATGGACTACCATTGAAGAGAGAAAACAACTAAAGAACCTCTTAGATGCAAACTCACTCATATTGAAAGAAAGGGCAGCTGTCTTGTATAGAAAGAAAGATAAGGAAGTGAATATGTCAGCAAGGAGAGATAGGCGCCACTATACAGAACAACTCGCTAAGGAAGCACAGAAAGCCGCTGAGAAAAAAGACATGGAAACCGTCTGCCAAATCAGAAAGAAACTAAGAGGTGATCACGGCCCCAACCAAGACCTTCCTGTAAAAGCAGAGGATGGTTCAGCAATAACAGAGGAATTGACAAAACTAGAGAGCTGGAGAGAACATTTTGAGAAGATTCTGAACCGACCAGATCCACCGATACTCCCTGTCATAGATGAGGCAAAGACAGACCTTGAGATAGAAACTTGCACGGAATGAGGTAAAACAAGCAATCCATAAACTAAAAAAGTCCCTGGAGAAGATGGGGTATGCTCGGAAATGTTGAAATCAGAAGAAAGAGAAACACCTTACATACTGCAGAGTATCATCCAAGATATATGGGACAAAGAAGATATCCCAGATGACTGGAAGAAAGGAGTGATAATCAAGGTGCCCAAGAAAGGTGACCTTAGAGACTGCATTAACTGGCGTGGGAGTACACTTCTCTATCTGACCAGCAAGGTCTTTAGCCAAATTATACTACAACGCATCACAGCTGCTGTAGATGACATACTTCGACAGGAGCAGGCCGGTTTCAGAAAAGGGAAATCTTGTATTGACCACATTTTTGTCCTACGGCAGATATTGGAACAGTACAACCAATGCTGTATTTGTTGATTTTGAGAAGGCCTTTGACAGTCTACACCGTGAATCTCTCTGGAGATCCTGCGCCACTACGGCATCCCACAGAAACTGGTTCACATCATCCAGTCCCTCTATAACAACTTTGAGTACCGAGTGATACAGAACAGCCAACTCACGAAGTCCTTCGCAGTGAACATCGGAGTGAAGTAATTCCGTCACCTGTGCTATTCTCACTTGCAATTGACTGGGTTATGAAGAACACCACACAAGGCAAAAGACAGGAATTGCAATGGACACTGACCTCAATCCTAGAGGACCTTGATTAAGCTGATGACCTCGGCCTCCTTTCAAACAGACATCAAGATATTCAGCAGAAGACAGAGCTCCTCAGTGAAACATCTAACAAAATAGGATTGAAGGTGAATACCAAAAAGACACAGGTTTTACGAGTAAATGCCACTAACAGTAATCCAGCACTGATCAACGGCAAGCCACTAGAGGATATTGAGGAGTTCACATACAGGGGTAGCAGGGTCACCACAACGGGCGACTGCAACAAGGAAGTCGACACCAGAATTAGCAAAGCAAATCAGGCTTTTGCAATGTTGAAACCCATATGGAGATCCTCATCACTCAACATCAACACTAAGATCATGATCTTCAACAGCAATGTCCTCAGTGTCCTCTTGTATGGATCAGAGTGCTGGAAAACATCCTTGGCGATTGAAAGAAAACTAGAAGTCTTCCAAACCAAGTCCCTCAGACGCATCCTCAAGATCTTCTGGCCTAATGCCATCACAAATGAAGATCTAATGAAAAGTTCTGGGATGCCTACAATATCACAGACCATCCAAGTAAGACGCCGGCGATGACTTGGTCATGTCCTGTGCATGCCTCCCAACTCAGTGCCGAGGGTTGCCCTTATATGGACACCCCAGGGAAGAAGAAACAGGGGCCGGTCAAAGGAGACATGGAGAAGAACTGTCCTGAAAGACCTGAAGACCAGAAGTCTATCCATGGAGACAGCACCACGAGCAGCTGCAGATCGAGCCAGGTGGAAATATCCTTGTAGTCGCCTCAAGCACCTGATGGCGCAGAGAAGATTGAGTGAGTGAGTCTTAACATTTAATTCGTTATAACGAGTTCCAAAAATGCTACAGCGAATTAAATTCGTTTTACCAAATTTGACAATTCGTTATATCAAAATGAAAAATATTTTTGATAGGTTTTGAATGGGCTTCCGTATAAATTTGTATATGCATTTAAATAAGATTTCTTCTGAAAAATCATTTACATTTAAGCAAAAAACCATATATTCGATTAAAAAGAAAACATCTGCAACTAATAAGACGGAAATGCCCATGTGTTACAGCGTATGGAAAGTTATTGATAAACATTATTCTTTTGGCCTGTAATTTCACATAAAATTAAAAAATAACAATACCATAAAAGGAGACATCCTGCCGATGGCACCGACTTTACCAGTAGCATTCAAAAAGCTCCCGGTTCCTTCAGTTGCCCCGAAAAATTCTACTATCCGCGGAATCTTGAACCTGGTTTTAAATTCTTCCCAAATGTCTATCCGAAGTCCATTTCCGAACGCCACACGTACATTGTGTACACCATCAAGATCGTTCTGTGTCAAATACATTTAACCCTGAAATTTCCACTTGATGTTTCATTTTGAACAGGCAATACAGTATATAAGTTGCTTGTTTTCTCAATAACTTTATACTTTACCTTTGGTACACGTAGTAAATATCGGCATAATTCTCCTATATATTGTATGACTGTAACTTTATATTTGCGTACATCTTCCCAGTAATGACGGGCAGAGAACTTTCGGCGAAGGACTATAGTTGCTCCTATTGAAAGCAAGAATTAGGGGCCCGATTCACAAAAGAACGTACGATTAACCACCGTGCATAACCCCACATATGGGGGCGCGGAATGGTGCCACCCGGGGGTGAGGAATTCGAAGCGGAATTTGCAATGTTCGTTGACCTGATTAGCTTTCCTACAGTGATTTAGATGAAAATAATCCTAAATTCACTTACGACGGAACACAGTGATATCCCAGCTTACTGTTACTGGTTTCCCAGCTCGGGACTCGTCCTAGAAATACATGAACACTTCTGCAATATCTGGCAAGAGCATGCAGCAACGCAAATTTGACCGTTTCTTTGTGAAAATTAGTGCTTTATATATCACTCAGCTTCATTTGACTTATGTGAGGGACTTCTAGATATGATTTTGCTCCAGACACTCTAATGTTTCGGAGAATTCCATCTCAAATAAAGGAGACAGACTTCAATTTAAGTGTGTGGCACTCGGGGGTAAAGAATTTAGTGGAGGCTGGGGGAAGGAATAAATCTCTAACTAATGGAAATGAATCGTTTCTATAAAAATTATTATAATATTGATTATACAAGCATTGAATTGCTACAATAAATTTATTAACTCTCATAATTTTAGTTGTAATACGTCATTTGATTGGATAAAAGATTTAATTTATATTGTATCACATACATAGGCGTCGGAACCGGGGAGCTGGGGGGGGGGGCTTTCTTTCCAAATATATACTAAGTACAGACATTTAACATTGCTTCGGAGGTTTAGCCCTCCCCCCATTTTCAACAGACACGTCGCAGTATAGGTTAAAATGGGGAAATTAGTGATGTTTGGAAAGAAAATTTGGTACTGAAGTTCGACCCCCCCCCCCCCCCCCCCCCCCCCCCCCCCCCCCCCCCCCCCCCCCCCCCCACGAAATAGGATCTTCGCGTTTGGGAAATGGACATCCCCCCTTTTTTTTGCTTGTCAGGTTCTTTTCAAGGTATAATTTTTTTTACACTAGACCCCCCCTCCCCCACTTTCAATTTGCTTCCGACGCCAATGACATAAATTGGCTACGTCACAATGAGCTAAGACAAAAACGTTTACTCCGCTTGACGTTAATTTAGGGAATAACTATCTTCTAATTTGGTATTTGCGACCGTTAATGCTGATTTAACGGTCGCAAACTGAGTTTTACCGGTGACGCGTAAGCGGAGCCGGTAAAACGGATGTTTGCGACCGTTAAATCAGCATTAACGGTCGCAAATACCAAATTAGAAGATTAGCTATTCCCATTCTAATGCAATCCATGCATTTTGTTTGTTGCTTACGTCTTATTTTGTTGAATTTTGTTACATAAAATACGTCATGGAGTATTGTGTTTTTGCGTCGCTCTATTATGACGCCACAATGAAAAAGCTTTCACGCTCGTTAATGCTCGTTTTACTGCTTCAAACACCAGTGCATTAGCCAATCAAAACGTGTTTTACAAAACAATTGCATTAGAATTTAAAATTTGCTTAGTTTGAAGACATTTTTGGAGGGAAAAAATGTCTCTTTGTTTACACTGGAATTATAAGGAATGAAGCTTATTGTAACCCATGTTATACGATACATGTATATACATAAGTTGGTCCAAGTTATGTTTTATCGTATATTATAGGTTAAGATAAGATTCATTCCTTAAATATGTTTAAGGTATAAAATATTTCTTTTACAGTAAATAGACATTTGAGCAATAGTTTAGAGTACATATTACATATATACTACTTGCTAGTCCATTATTTATACACTGAATTGACGAGGGATTATCCAGATCATGACAAGGGGCATACGGCGGGTGTGACCGGTCGGCAGGGGATGCCTACTCCTCCATGGTACCTCATCCCATCTCTGATGTTTAGCAGGTCCGTGTTTGCTCTGCTCCTGTTTTGTATTGTTTTATGAACTTTTGATCTTGAATACTGTTCATTATCTCCATATGTTCCATGTACTGAGTATACAGAATTGATTTAGAATTATATATACCCTTGTTTCATGCAGTGAAGTTTTTTTTTTTTTTTTTTTTTTTTTTTTTTTTATTGCCCCATCACATGTCCAAGTATATAATAGTGCCAGGGTTGGGGCCCTGGGTTCACTAAATAACATAATACACATATATATTACACAATCATAATGTGACAGGACATTTTTTTCACATATCATTCACACACCTTTCGCTACATAACATGCATATGATTATATTTATAATAATATTTATCAACTGAAATCTTAATATAATCAGTGAAAAGTTGATGTACATCTGTAACTGCATTGTTTTTTCAAATATTTTACTCATATTAAAACATTATCAAATTCCATCGTTTTTTAAAACTGTCCATTTCCCCATTTTTCTTATAGATATATTTTTCACAATTAAAATAATACATAACCTCTTGTTTGACCCTCTCAAAAGATGGTACACATTTTTTGCATCTATTTCTATAAATATGCTTTTTTATTATACATACTACTAAATTGAATATATTGTTATATTTATAATGTTTTCCCAACAAAACATCAACTTTGTTTAGAGATATATCAACTCCAAACTGTTCTTTCATCCAATCTAGTACATTTTCCCAAATTTCTGCAACACACTCGCACTCCCAAAAAAGATGACAAAGTGTCTCTGGATGTTTCTTACAAAAACTACATAAATCTGAGTCAGTAACACCAATTTTGTGTAAATATGTATTTGTAGCTAAAATTCTATGTACAATTCTATAGTGGAACCATCTTAACTGTATATCATTTGTTATGTTAAAAAACAGAATGTTTTGTTTTTTCCACCAAAATTCATCAACATTAAGTTCTAAAATGTTTTCCCATTTCATTTCACTTCTTGGTTTTTTGTATTTCTGACTAATAAAAACATCATAGAAATCTCTTGCACCTTGTTTGCTTTTTGTTATTGTTTGTAAGAATTTTGGGAAGGAAGGTTGATTTCTTTGAATTATATTATGATCATAATTCAACTGTAATTTTCTAATACAATTTGTTATGCCTAAAAACTTTGTAAAAGGTGTTTTTAAATCATATTGTTTACAAAAGTCTTGGTATCCTAACAAAGTCCCATTTGTATCATAAAAATCAAAAACAAATTGTATACCTTGTCTCAGCCATGACTTTTAACAAACACTTCTGTTGTTTATACATATTGATGGATTATACCATATGGGACTTAAAATAGATGTTTGATCATCAATACATAATCTCAAATCCAACAATGCTGAAAAAACATCATTCCAGAAAACATTTTCCGTATCTTTCTCAAGTTTTTTTGAAAAATCCCTACCATAGATAACTAAATATTTAATGTCAGGAATTAAATCTTTTAGCAATTCTTTCCAGGCTGATTTACATGAACTATCAAACAATCTGCGAATCCATGTAATTTTTAAACTTTTACAAAATGAATCAAGACATGTCATTCTCATACCACCGTTTTCATAACTTTGGCATATAATATTTTTAGCCACCCTAGCCGTTTTGGTATTCCAGATATAATGAAAAAATATAGCTTCAATTTCTTTGAGTTTTTCTTTAGAAGGGCTCGGTAAACTAATTAATAAGTGACTAAATTTAGGTAAAAGCAAGGTTTTTACTTCTGTTATACGACCTGCCGTTGATAAATGTCTTCTAGACCATGATGATATAAGCTTTTTGACAGAGTCAATCTTTGGCAAAAAATTCAAATCAAACATAGTGTTTGTGTCTAGATCTACACAGTATGCTATACCTAACACTGTAAATGGTTCCTGTGACCACATCAAGTTTTGATATTTATCACACAAGTTATCATCAGTATGAACAGTAGATCCAATCCTAAAACATTGAGTTTTATCATAATTTGGCTTCAGTCCAGAGAATTTGGAATACTGATTGACTAAAGACAAAGCTGATCTAATTGAGTCTTCTGAACCATCCATTAATAAAACTGTATCATCAGCATATTGTAGTAGTTTATATTCTTTATCTTCAATAACAATGCCCTTTATTAATTTATTATTTCTAATCATAATTCCCATTATTTCTGCACATAGTAGGAACAAGTAAGGTGAAATTGGGTCACCTTGCCTACAACCTCGTCCCATTTGGAAAAATTCAGAAAAAATACCATTTTGAATAACACATAACTTAAGTTCTCTAAACAAAATCTTTATCCATTTTAAAAAATTCTCACCAAAATTAAAAAATCTGAGTACTTTATAAATAAATCTCCAAGAAATAGAGTCAAATGCTTTCTCAAAGTCAATCAATAAAACAAGACCTGAATGATCATTCTCTTTACAATAATGTATGATGTCATATAATAACCTTGAGTTTTCACCAATATATCTACCAGCAAGAAACCCTTTTTGATTTTCATGTATTACTTTTGACAGAATTGGTTTCATTCGATTTGCTAAGACACTAGATAAGAGTTTATATGTAATGTTCAATAATGTAATTGGTCGCCAATTTTTTAATTGTTCCCTTGGCTTATTGCCTTTTGGTAGAATAGAAATAATTCCAAGCATCTGAGTATAAGATAATTGACCTACTTCATAGCTGTAATTAAAGGATTTGAGAATATATGAATTAATATCTGTCCAAAAAAACTTGAAAAATTCTGCTGTAAAACCGTCAGTTCCGGGTGTTTTGTCGTTCTTAAAATTTTTAAGAGCTTGAAGTATTTCTTGTTTTGTAATTTCAGCATTTAAAATGTTTTTCATATCATTATTTATTTTAGGAACCTCAAAGTTTTGGAATAAGTCTTCAAGATTTACATCATCAAGCTCCTGATCTTTGTTTTCATATAATTTTTTGTAAAAGTTCTTTACTTCTTCTAAGATATCTGCTTGCTTATTTACATATTTACCATCATTATTGATTAAATTGCTAATATTTTTATTGACATAATTTCTTTTTTCTAAGGCACAAAAATATTTTGTAGGTTTCTCCCCATCTTCTATCCATTTACAATGACTTCTTAACAATAGCCCCTTCAATTCATATTTTCTAATTTCCTCTAATTCTGTCTCAAGGTCACTTATCATATCTAGATAAATTGACAAAGGGTAATTATTATACATATCATGTAAAATTCTAAGTTGATTTCCAATCTTTGCTTTGTGATCCCTCCTTTCTCGGGTCAAATTTGCAGATAATTGTATTGCCATATCCCTTATTTTCATTAATAGAACATCAAGAAAAAGATTATCTGGTATTCCTAACATTGATTCATCAATACGATATTCATTATCCGTTTCCCTTATAATTTTTTTAACATTTGTCACAAATTCTTTGTTTCTCAATAAGGAATTGTTAAAACGCCAGAATCCCTTTCCACGTTTAAATTCATTAACAGTAATATCTAATTCTATGATAGAGTGATCAGTCCTATAGCCTGGCATCATGTGAACATCATTTATAATTGATAAGAGTTCCTCTGATACTAAAAAAAGTCAAGTCTAGCCTGTTTTACTGGGTTCTTCCTACTCCATGTATATTTTTTAGCATCTGGGTTTTTGATTCTCCAAGGATCTACTAAATTGAATTTTGATTTTAATTTTTCAATTTCAAGTTTATTTTTGGGATTGTTTTCTCTAACATAATTGTAACAGTCTAACTGGTAATCTTGTACTACATTCCAGTCTCCACACATAATTATAAAGTCAGTATCAAAAAAATCATCCATTTTATCACTTATTTCTGCTTAAAATTTAGGATTATCAACTTCCCTTACTTATGCAGCAATATACCTTCATCACCTGCATACGGAGTATTTATATCTCAGTTGATTCGATATGCAAGAGCATGCTCTGCGTATGAACAGTTTCTTAAACGAGGTAAATTATTGACAAGCAAGTTGATGAAACAAGAATATCAACAGTCTCGTTTAAAGTCATCATTTCGTAAATTCTATGGTCGATACAATGACCTTGTCAGCAAATACAATTTATCATTGAATGAAATGCTGAATGACGTTTTTCATACCAATTGTTAGTCCATTATTTATACACTGAATTCACCACGGATTTTTTCCGTTATATCCTGATTATGACAACGAGCACACGGCGGGTGTGACCGGTCGGCAGGGGATGCTCACTCCTCCATGGCACCTGATCCCACCTCTGATGTTTCGGAGGTCCGTGTTTGCTCTGCACTTATTTTGTATATTTGTTTAATGGACGTTGAGATTGAATACTGTTCGTTATTTCCATATCCTTCCATTGTGACCATATAAATTAACCAAAGTGATTGAGTACTTGTTATCCACCATTATATTTGATATAATGAAATTCCCCTCATTATCACTATAAACTTTAGAAATTTTTATTTCATTTGTGTTATTAAAAAGGGTTAAAGTCCCTCTTGCATCTGATTTTCCTGAGCTGATGAGTATGTCATTACCCCATTGGGCATAAACTGATTTTTTCTCTAATTCTGTACAGTGGGTGTCTTGTAAACAATAAATAGATGATTTAAAATTTCTTAAATAGTTTAGGACATCCTTTCTTTTCATAGAATCATGTAAACCTCTGCAGTTTACAGAAGTAATTTTTAACTTAGTCATAGATTACACTACACAGTTGAATAAAGGCAAAAAAATATGCATGTTGCATACTCTCCATTCTTTCACACATATATCAAAAATGAAAAATACTTCCTGTATGGTAACAAAACAAATCAAGAAAATTCATGTATTACATCGCATTGGGTCTTTTTAATTTAACTTAGCCACCTAAATAAGATAGTGAACCGTAGTTCTCTCATAGAAAAAATAATAATAAATACAAGCTCCTCTATGAACTTCTACCAGTAATCTTTGTAATCTTTGTTGAAATTTAGGTATTTATTACATTAAAAAGAAAAAACCAATATGTCCCCATGTAATTTATACAGCAAACCATAAGCTGCCAAACAAATATATATCCTGAGACATACTACATGTAGATATGTTACAAGTTATCAACTATGACATAACACAGTAGTTCCAGATAACGATACCAAAAATTCTCAATATTTTACAAGTTATTAACAACTAAGGCATAACTCTGAATTTTACAGATATCATCCAAAGCTCAAAACACTGGTATTTTACTTTTAAACAACTGCAGCATACCTTAATATATCTTTCTAATAGCATCTAAAACATACTCATTATTTGACAAGTAAACAACACGATACCAACTGTAGCATAACTCAGCACTTTACAGATATACAAAACCTTCACCATATCATACTCCTACAACCTGTCATCTCCTGCAAATAATCTTGTTCTTATCTAGATCAATTAGAAGGAATCACTAAAAGCGAGCCATTCTTTTTCTCCTTTTTGTCGATACTCCAGAATCACATCGTCTTTCGTTTCACGGATTCTCGTCTTCATTCCTGATTTCCTGAGTTCATATGCCTTTTGAGCCAGTTCTGCCCTCTTTCTCTTCAAATGCACGGGTAGATCTGTTCGTATTGCATATCCTTTCGGTAGGGTAGTGTTTCTGGCATGATTTAGTATCATATTACGGTCCTCCATAAGAACGAATTTAACAATGACTGCTTCTGGTGCCCCAGGTTTGTAACTGCTGTTGGGGTTTTTTGGAACCCTATGAGAGTTTTTAATCATTATAGACTCTGCTGTTGACATGCCCAATTTTTCACTCAAAAATTTCACAATAACCTCGTTTGAAACTTCATTCTCTGCTTTAGGAATGAGAGGTTGTATTTCCGAGATCTTAACTCTTGGTATGTAATATGATCTTGCAGTTCTTTTAAAGAAGCCTCAAGAAGGCTTACCTTTTTACTTTGGGGTTGTATAACCTCTGTGTTTAGCTTTTCTAAATCAGTTAATCGGTCATCTTGGTTTTGAAGCGCTGTTTTCATATCAGTTATCTCCTCCTTAATAACGATCCTTAATAACGATCAGCGTTTCCTCAACTTTTTTGTCAAGCGCAGTAAGCCTCTCGTTCATTGAACTCTCCAACTTCTGTATTAGATTAGAGAAAAGTTCCTTTAACTCTTTATTTGACACCTCATCATTTTGCGCACTCTCCTTCTCTGTATCTTTTCTCTTCGGCATCTTGCACGAGCTTCCCGAATTTCCTTGTGCAAAGTAGTGACTTACAGTCTGTTGCATTTAACAAAGAGGAAAATACCTGAAATTCACCTAAAACGAATGTCTTCACGTAATTAAGAAAACTATCTGCAATGCCTCGTATCAAATATTAATGTTCACTTAGGAAAACAGAAAAAACGACCCTCTGCTCCTTCTCACTTCACGCCATTTGCGCAGCCACACCGGAAGTCTTCATGCAGTGAAGTTAATTATATATACTGACTATTGAAAGGAGATGAGCTAACAAGGCGTACAGAATACCCATAGCTTCAGATATATAAAAATCATATTCAATTTGTAAAAATAGAATCTAGAGTAAATTTTTCATTTTTGAAATTAAACCTTTATTGTATGCCAAAAAAAAAAATTGGCCACCCCCCCCCCCCCCCCCGAGATAGGATTTTCGAGTTTGTTCAAAATCCCCCCCCCTTTTTTTTTTTACTTGTCAACTTTTACAGGTAAGTAAAATTTTTTTTCTTTGGTCCCCCATTCCACTTTCAAAAACGATGCTACGTGCCTGTAAAAAGCACTATTTGTCGAATCATTTAAAAAAGACAGTTCCAATTTAAATTTATATACCAGGATCTAAACAATTAAAACAGAGCAGATTTTAAGAATTACGATTGATATACAATGACTAAAAATTATTCCTTCCCCCAGCCTCCACTAAATTCTTTACCCCCGAGTGCCACACACTTAAATTGAAGTCTGTGTCCTTTATTTGAGGTGGAATTTTCCGAAACATTAGAGTGTCTGGGGCAAAATCATATCTAGAAGTCCCTCACATAAGTCAAATGAAGCTGAGTGATATAAAAGGGAACAATTTTTACAAAGAAACAGTCAAATTTGCGTTGCCGCATGCTCTTACCAGATATTGCAGAAGTGTTCATGTATTTCTAGGACAAGTCCCGAGCTTGGAAACGAGTAACAGTAAGCTGGGATATCACTGTGTTCCGTCGTAAGTGAATTTAGGATTATTTTCATCTCAATCACTGTAGGAAAGCTAAACAGGTCAACGAACATTGCAAATTCCGCTTCGAATTCCTCACCCCCGGGTGGCACCATTCCGCGCCCCCATATGTGGGGTTATGCACGGTGATTAACATTGTTTGTAAAATTTCGCAAAATTAATAATTGTATGAAAAGTTGCTATGATGAAAATATTTTTCTACATTCCTTTTAAAAAGATTAAAACCATTTTCAATTTAATGCAAATTAGAAAGTTCTAGCAGAATTAATTTTTTTGGTTTAATTCGTTAGTTTCTTTTGTAAAACAGACCCAGATACTCTTGAAAGTAAGAAAACGAACTGATGCTATAAAACTCTATACGTAAAGATACAGTCATATATACCTCTTTCAATTGTATTAAATAGGCACAACGTGGTGCTAGCACTGTGGTATAGAGGTGTAACAGCATAACCTATATCGTTTTCATTGTAACCGAACGCTTGCCAATACACCGAGGAAGACATGGCTTTCGAATTGTTGATTATTGCTGGCTTAGGTAGTCCTGCAAATTCACACAATTTTAAATATGTCAGTTTGCAAGTGTTCTGCAGTTATAATGATCAATAAAATTATTACCTGAATTTGAACATATACAATTTTGGACTGTTTAGATGGGAGACATCACCAATTATCACCAATTATCAGGTCTGAGTAGGGTTGTCACCCGAGGGCCAGTTAGGTATAGTAAAAATACGTTTATAACGAACATGCATTAAATGAATTGACGTTTAAAGTGATTTCAAGGATATAAGGAATTAGGTTTAAGAAACAAAATCGTCCATCGCCGGCACTTCGTTATGAACATGTTTACTGTATAGAGAATATTCAAAATAACACTCGTACACACCTGTTGTACCAGAGGTATAAATGTAGCAGACGGGACTGCGTAAGGTGGTCCCCTCTCGGTGTACCTTAGAAAGAGCCACAGGAAGGGTACGAAGAAGTACGTCGTCCATGGCAACGAACTTTGACGGGAGGTCAGTTTGTCGCTTTCCCTGAACATATATTTTAATGTCGGGTAAATCGTTCAGTATCTCTTGAATCGACTCTAGATGGCCATCTCCTGTCATAGAATGAAAGTTAAATTAGATTGCATGTACTTATTGAATTAACATCAAAATGACCATTTTTATTGATATAATACCTGAGCCAATGATGAGCACGGGTGCGTCGCTGACCTTGATGGAATGTATGAGTGGATGAGCCTTTAAGTGGTAATTAATAAAAGCTCCTACAAGTCCTGCCTTCTGTAGACCTACAGTAGATTACATGGTTTATGTCATTATAAAAGTGTTAGTTTTTTTTATGGAAAGTCGTTTGCTCAGGAAAAATTATGTGTCACCTAGAAATGTCCATACAAATGCAGGTTCATTTTCTATCATCATGGCGACTGAAGAATCCCGGGGAAGGTTCCATGATGCAGCAAGATTTGCCACTTTATTGGCCATGGTGTCGACAAATTCGTACGAATATTGTCTATCCTCAAAAATGATGAATGTCTTTTTCGGTAGTTTGACCACATTCTCTTCAAACATATCCAGAACTGTCCTTCCTTTGCTAAAGTTTTCGCCAATCCTTTTCAGAACTTCCAAAAATACTCTAATTGTCTTGATATCGTCACCAATCCACGGAAATAATGTCTTCCAGGCTGCATAGCCTGCGCCACCCATCCCAGAGACCAGCAGGAGGGCTTTTTGTCGTCCGGACATCTATATGCAAGTAAAATGAAATTTGAAATATAAAATACTCAAAATGAAATATTTCAACATTTTTTTTTTTAGCTTGAATTATAAATTACTAAATTCTATTCAATTTAAACTCTCTGATATTTGCTGCACATTTTGTTCTGTTTAGAACGATCTGAAATTGTAAGCTTTTTTTGTTACAAAATTAAAAAGAATTGTCCATATATGTCCTAAAGTGTCTTGCAAATTGTGTACGGTTCTTAATCATCAGAAACTGAAAAAGGTTTCGTAAATCAGTACTATTGAGAAATATGTGTATTATTTAAATATGTCTGTATATTTTTTTTCTATACATGCGTACAAATATGGCGATTAAATCTGCTATATTTGTTCTACACAGCTGTTTTTCACAGGTAAATAATTCTGTGCTAATTGTCCCTAGTGAAATAGTAAGTCGTGGTAATTCTTCCCCAGCAATTTTCTTTTTTCCATCATGTCCCATTTCGGAACTCTTCTGGCTTTCAGATTTAGTTTCTCGGGAAGCGGCTGTTGTCGCGGGGAGCAATTAAATCGTTTTTGTCATCATAGCCATTTCAATTCTCAAAATTTAAAAAAGAATTTGCATGAAATTTTGAAATTGCATATTTCCATCATAGTGTTATATTTTCTATTCTCGTTTGATTTGGATCTACGGTATCCATTTGCGCGAGATCAGGAAGAACCGTAGCAATTTATGAAAAAAAAACCTTAAACGACCAAATCAAGAAAGCTAAGTCTGAGTTGAATAGGAATCAATACAATACTTTTACTATGTATGTAATGAGTTTAAAAAAAAGACAATGGTGGCAAACTGGCTGTGTGATAAACGTGTTGATTTCTTTCGATCTGGGGACATAAAAAGTTAAAAACTTGTTGCTGGTGGACAAGCTCTATATACAATTCAGACTAAACGGACTGACACGCTTTCATGTTGATCAAAATTAGAAATACGATTTCGTTACACGTTCACCCGGAAGTTGACATTCAAAGAACGCCAAAGAGGCTTAACAAGGGACATCAAAATATTCCAAACGCATTAATTAATTGTTAGTGAAATTTTGCACATTTTATGCAATGCACAACTTACCTTGATGACCTTTTTAAAAAAAAATTAAATAAAAAGGCTAGCTGGTCAGAATACGAACCGATAGCGGGTGCCTGTCAAAATTTAGGTCGTGAATATTCACCTGTTATCTTTCCATGTAAATACCAAATTGACAGTGACATTGCATTTATAAATTTATTAACACATATAACATTAGTAACTTAAAATGCATTATTACCACATGTTTAAAATATTATTTACTCAATATAAAGATATATGTTGATTTTTGGAAACAAAGTTGTTTTTGTTTGTCAGTTATAGCGAGGTTGAAATACCTATCACATACTGGCCTTCCCAAAAGTGTAAGTTGAACCTTATTTTCCGGCATTAGAGCTTCTACATTTCAACTATTGGCCACGACATGAAAGTAGATGTACGTATGAGGACATCCAAGTGTCTTTTTTCTAGGACCACACAATCCAAGTGAAATTTATATTCACTAATGCGACAACGTGAGCTTATAAGCAGTATAATTGTTTATAAGTGTGAACATGAAATTTAACCTGATCTCGCGCAAACGGATACCGTAGATCTATGTCAAACGAGAATAGAAAATATAACACTATGATGGAAATATCAATTTAATTGAAAAAGGTTTTCAATTTAATGATCAATCTGATAAAATAAATCCAGTAAACAAAACGAACGGCATACAGGGCAAACATAACGTCTGCATATCAGTTTAGTCTTCAGATATAGTCAAATGTTTAAATTGTTTATGCTAGTCCAGGAGACAGACTTGGTAAGTTTGTGATATTTCTCAGAATTAAAAAAAAATGGCTCAGATGTCCCAAAACACGCTTCATTTACCCATACTGTACATGAACACATGATAATTATTCTAACAATTACCTAATAAGAAAATAGGGCTCACGACGGGTGACAACAGGGGATGCTTAGTCCTCTTTGGCAACTGATCCTACCTTTAGAATACCCGTGGTTATCCCCTGGTCACTGTCTCGTTTTGTCGGAAGTTTTAATGAGATCGATCACTGTTCGTTCACTTTACTTTTTTTTTTTATTTTTAACATGTTGTTAATCAAATACTCAAAATACTATATCGAATTTTTAGCTAATATATAATAAGCACCATCACAAGAAATAAGTTGTTCAAACAAGTTTTCATTAGAATATAGACGGTATTCGAAAAATTTTTTTAAAAAAAGGGAGGGGACAAAAAAATGTTTCTTTACTACTTCTTTCTTTAAGTCGCCTGCTTGGCGCAGTAATTAGATCTGTTGCTAGAGAAAGGCATAGTAGGTATATGATCCTTACGTCGCTGGCTCGACATGGAAAAAGTCCTTCGGAAGAGACCATATAAACTGAGGTCCCGTTTCACAGAGGATGCTGCCATGAAAAAATACTTCACTGTTTGTACAGTAGTAAAGATATATTTTCGAAATCTCTTTGTTACCATGGCAACATTTCTTAAAACCAAAACCCGATACAAAAAATTTTGTATCCTTTTTAAAGTCAAAGAACTTCGTTTCGTAGCAATCAGAAACTGCTAAAGTGTATTGGATTTATCTCTCTTAGTACAGTCTTCTTATCAACTGTAGCAGAAGTAAAATAATTTCAAAACGCTTTCAATTTTTTGTTACCTTCACTTTTCACACTAAAAAGTTGTTTTTTTTTTTTACTTAGAAACATGAAAATGGAATTGATGTCAATGAGGAACCCCGACATCCTTTTACTACCGGAATTAACTTTAGGATATACTTGTGTGAAGGATAAGAGTGATATTTAAGTTTAAGTAATTTTGTTGACGACTCGCTGATCACATTATTATTTCTTTGTATTGCCTACAGAGCAGCAGGCATGCTTATGAAAATTTCCTAAGATGTGTCTTAAGACGTTTCTTACGATATTTCTTACTAGGACATATCTTAGGAATATCTTAAGATGCGTCTTAGGGTGTAAAACGAAAGCATCTTTGGAATATACTAGGTTAAGATGTCGTAAATTCCATCTTAGCCATTTTCTTTTGTTGTAAAACAATATGTACAGGAAGTTTTTATTTAGTTTCCATAATAATATACATATGTACGTAATGGAAGGGGGGGGGTCGTAGAGGAAGTTCCTCCTTAGTTCTTAAAAGAATTTAGATTTGTACAGGCATATACATACATTCACAGGGTACAATGTTTGTGTTAATTTATTATGTCATATGTTCATACATATTCTCACCACTGTACAAAAATTAAACTTTTGAAAGGAAAGGGGGGGGGTGAGAGAAAGAAACAGCTTCATTTTGAAATTTAACATGGGATTATACAAGAGAAGCCACTGCTTATTCACTCATGTCCGAGCTATGTTGGAACCGGTCCGTTTTGATAGATCTTTTGGGGGTCCCTATTGTTCTTAGATACAATCACAGGGGCCTGTAACATACTGTATTTGATTTTACGTAATCACTATATGTATACAAAAAGAGAAAGGGAAACAACGTCAGCTCGAATTTACACAGGGTCGATCTCGGAAATGACTCGTGTTTTCAATAAAATACCTTGCAGTTAGTGAAATAACGTCTGGGATCATTCAGTAATAATCACTCTTTAATAAAAATACCATCGTGGTCATTTAAGAATCGTGTAAAGTCGTGTTTTGCAGATCCGATATCCTGTCATGCAAGTGATGTAGTTTAAGTCGTCCACTAAATTCGCTAAACATTGCATCCAATATTTAACGCGAGATGTGATTGGTCAATGGTGCTTTTCTAGAACAGATCTGACCAATCACGCTCCGCCTTTTACCAATCATGGGTTTTTCCAAAATGTCGTCTGTTCTGGGCTCGAGCCTCTCTGTGAACGAAAAAAGCTACCGTATTTATTCAAATCGGAGATGTTGTACCTTTAAATTGCAATTAACAAAAGAAAAAGATGATTTTCGTGAACGCTGGATCTTTACTTTGTGTTTTCCATCTCCGGAAAGACTTCAAAACTGGAGAAAATGTGCGAATTTTGCCTCGTTTTAGTGGACGACTTAAAGTACATCGACTCGCACAACGGGATATCGAGTTAGTATTACCCAACTTAAACGCTATAAAAAGTAACGAGGTTTCTGTTTTATTAAAGAATATTTATTGTAGTATGATTTCTAGTTATAATTTAATTGGCTACATTCTTTTTTCTATGAAATACGAAATATTTCCGAGATCGACCCTGTGTAAATTCGGGCTGACGTTGTTTCCCTTTCCTTTTTTGTATATATAAAGTGATTATGTAAAATCAAAAACAGTATGTTACCGGCCCCTGTGGATACAATGTATTCCACTACATGAGAAGAACAGCATTCGGAAATAATTTGCACGTGTCAGACATGAGCCGTAAAAGAAACCCAAACTTTTCGGAAAATGAACTGCAAGTTCTTCTTGATGAGGTGGAAAAGAATAAAACAGTGATTTTTTTCAAAACTCTCTAAGTTGGTTTTGAATAATAACAAAAAACGCGTGTAGGAGCTTGTATGTGAAAAAGTGAATGCTTGAAACTCAAGCGATCACGTCAGAACAGTAGAAGAAGTAAGGAAAAAATTCTCGTCTATACAAGTGACACGGAAAAGAAAATCACACAAAACCGCAGAGAGTCTACTGGGACAGGAGGAGTGAAAGCACCTTCTACCTGTACGGACCTTACACCACTTCAAGAGAAAGTATCAGGGATTTGGAGGGCGTTGATGGTGGTATTGATACAGCAGAATGCAGCACCTCTAAAGGGAGTGAAACTGAATGTAAACATCCTTTATGTAAGTGTATCATATGAAAAAAAAATCCCTGTATCACTTCAGATCATGGTAGCACTGAGGTATATTATGTACGAGTACAGGGAATGCGAATGACCTCATTGTGGGTCGTTCAATATTGTGTTGGAACATTTGACAAAGA